CACACACACAATTTATTATTGAAGGAGCTAGTAGGTTTTCTGATAGAGTGCCTCAGAGTCTGGAAGTTAACTTATATATTAACATGCTTCCCTATCCTGTGTAGTCCCTGTAAACGAGTAGTTATATCTAGAAGTTTTTTTTTTTTTCCTGACAAGAATGTTTTATATAGAGGTATTGTGCATTTTCATAAGGAAGTACGTAATGTCTGATTGTCTTTTCTTTGTGATGTTAGCAGCCATTGATAGTTGTTATCTAGATTATTAATTCATCAGGGGTTGCAAAGTGGTGATATTCTTATTTAATACTATAATTTCATCTTTATTAGCTGGAATGACTTAAAACATTTAAATATACTTTCGAAACATGGTAAAGGGCCCTCTTTTCATTTAAGTATTGTTAAAAGAGTAATAATGATATTAAACTCCAAATATTGAATTTGAAATGCTGTGTGGTATCTGAGTAAGTTCTGTGTGTAAATAGTGTTTTTAAAAGCTTCCTAAGAAATTTTATAACTTCTGATTTCATTCTGATTATGATTTCTAAGAAATGCTACCTGGTGCTAATTGTAACATAATACTTCTTAAAATTTTCATATTTTAACAGGAACGAGGGGGAATAATGTCACTCACAGAAGTGTACTGTTTAGTAAACCGAGCCCGAGGAATGGAAGTAAGCATAGAATATTTAGATACTCTTTTTCAAACTAAATATAGACTTTCTTAATATAATATAAATTCTCCCACAGAGAATACAATTTGAGGAAGGGTTGTATTATATCTAAACTATTTTGAGAAGTTTGTTGGACAATGAAAAGAATACTCTAAAATCTAAGAGGTAGATTCTGTTCCTGGTTTTGCCAAGTGACCTTGATTAGTTTACTTAACCTCTCAGATTCAATTTTCCACCTTTAAAATAAGGATTTGGACTGATCCCTTTCAGCTCCAATAGTCTGTGTTTGTATTGTGATTAATAAGGTACCTGATGTCCTTTCCCTGTGATCATCGTTTCGACTTAGCTGGGTTGGGAACAGAGTGCCTGTAGATAATACAGAGGGCAAGCTGCCCTGCTCCTTTGGCTGTGAATCAGCAGTGGCTATTCTTCAACTCTCATTGCCCCTTAACACCCAGACATCCTTGGCCTCCAAGGTTCTGTCAGTGCACTCTTTGTCAGGCAAACACAGTTCTGTGGTGTCACTGATTATCTCCATGCAGATGAGTCACACATGTCTTTCCAGTGCTCACCCCAATCCCATGACTTAAGTCTGTGCTGTGTGTTTTTATTCGAATAGTCATCATAACTGCCAGTGAGTACTTACTATGTACCAGGTTTCTGCACGTGTTACCTTATTTATCTTCCCCAGTAACTAGTGAGGCAGCTACTTTTACGATCTCCATCTGGGACTAATTTGGGGATGTAGAAACTAAGGCTTAGATTAAATAATTCGACGTAGGGTACACCTAGAGAAAGTGGTTTGACAGGGATATGGCCTGAGGCTGGGCTGGCTCCATAGCCATTCTGCGTGACTCAAACCTATACCTATTACCACCACACTGGGCTGATGCTTTAAGGCTGCATGGTCTGGAAGAGTAGCCAGTAGCTGGCTACATGTGATAGTTGTGAGCTTGGACTGTAGTTAATCCAAATTGATAATCTGTTGGAAGTGTAAATTACACACCAGATTTAGAAGACTTAGTGCAGAATGAGGAAATGTTAAATTTCTCATTAATTTTTTATCAATTATATGTTGAATTTTTTGATCTATGAAGTATATGTGTATTAAAATTAATTTAACTTTCTTTTAATTTTTTTAAAATATGTCTGCTAGAAAATTTTAAATTAGATATATGATTTACATTCTGTTTTTATTGGCCAGCATTGCTTTAATATTTAATGAATAGGTCTTCGCTTCTTTCTTAATCATTTTGCCTTATAGTGATTAAACTACCTAATATCCATGAGAAATTATAATTTTTAAATTTCCTCTTCTGTTTTAGTGATCATTATAATTATATAGCATCATTCTATTAATTTGCAGTGTAAACTGGATTTTTTTCCCCATTAGTTGCTTTCACCGGAAGATTTAGTGAATGCATGTAAGATGCTGGAAGCTCTGAAATTACCTCTCAGGTAAACGAACCTCTGCAAGAAGTTTGCCAACTATAGCTACTGTTCTGCACAGAGTAGGCAGGAAAGCCCTGCCTGGTCCACCATCCTGTGTGGCGAGCCAACATTTTGCCTCTCTTGAAATTATATTACATGTGAACAGAATCACTAAACACCTCAAGCACCTCTGTCATCCTGGCTTCCATGCTGTGGGTGACCTAAGGGGCCTAGTAGTCTGACTCTTGTCGATTTGCGATTTGCAGTGGTGAGATAAGAATGTGGGCTTCTCCTATGAGGTCAGGGTAACTAGCCCCTCTTCCCTTAGACATTTTGTGATCATCTCTGGGGACTTAGAAGTACAAATGTTCAGCTGTGAATTCTGTTTTCCTTATCCTCAGGCTAAAAAAAAATTAGCCAGATGAATTTTATTCAGCATGTGGATTATAGTTTATGATTTTATTAAAAACTATAATTGCTTGTGGTCGTTAAGTTTTAAATGTTGTTTTGTGTATATATTACCCTCATACCTGGGCATGAAAGAAAGTGAAAAATATTTGTGCCTTCTTAGTGGTTGAAGATCCTAGATATTCATGGCTTTGTTCTCCTGTCTGTGGTTTTTAGGCTACGAGTTTTTGACAGTGGCGTCATGGTAATTGAGCTTCAGTCCCACAAGGAAGAGGAAATGGTGGCCTCAGCCTTGGAGACAGTATGTGAACCAGTTTCCTTCAGTCATTAGGGCTCGTATGAGGACCCGAGTGCCTGGCAACTTGGGAAACAGGATTTCCTTTTGAATTTAACTTTACTAAAAGTGATGTTTGCAGACCCAGTTAAAAGTGGTTATCATTACAATGAATAAATATTCATCAAAATTATACTTTGAAAAATTTAAAAACTTACTAACATTCAAAAATCTTAGATGAAAGGAGAATTAGAATTAGTGAGGTGCTCTCTTTTGTCTGAAGTGCCGTCTTGAGAACAGAATTTTACTTTTGTTAATCAAATATTACCCATGATGGAACTTTCCCTTTCAGGAACACCTACATAAGCAGCATTACAAACCATCACAAGTTGTTTTATGAAATTATTGCTTCAAAATATATGAAAAGCACTGTAGTTTAGACCGATTTTGTGGCCAAACTGCTATTACACATTAGGATACTTGAAATATTACTGCCTTCATAGCCTCTATCGTGAGCCTGTATAATTTAAATAACTCACATTTATACTTTTTGTTTTAAAGTAGATGAAAAACCCAGGAAAATAGATATTTCAGCCATATATTTTAAACTAAACCTAAATATATATGTAAGTGTATGTCATACATACACACATATACACGTATGTGTATATATATGTATATATACACACTCGATTAGAATTTGTTATTTGTACCTTTTAAGAATATTGAAGTGTTTTTTTTTTAAGGCTTTAATACAAAGCCGTTGTTACATTATAGAGAGTTTCATGATATTTTAGCCTCTATTTGGTCTGGGCCCTTCAGCTTTTGTAGTATTAAACATTAGTGAAGAAGATTTAGCTCTGTAGTGAATATTCTTTGGATTTTAGCAGAAAATTAAGTAAGTTATTTCTTGAGTATACTGGTAGACTCTCTCTCTAGCTTAGTACCTAGGAGGTATAAATTATGACATTTTTGCTGCTGTGTGTTTTTGTTAGGTTTCAGAAAAGGGATCCCTTACATCCGAAGAGTTTGCCAAGCTTGTAGGAATGTCTGTCCTTCTGGCTAAAGAAAGGTAAGTAAGGTCCTGGCTCCTGGTTGCTACTGTGGTTGTGTTTCTTCTGAATGGACAGATGATTGTGGTTTTCTCCCCTTGATTCCTAGGTTGCTTCTTGCAGAGAAGATGGGCCATCTTTGCCGAGACGACTCAGTGGAAGGCTTGCGTTTTTACCCAAATTTATTTATGACACAGAGCTAAGGGTTTTGTATTTGAAATACTTTTTATTCATATATTTGCATCATCTGGCAGTTGTATGACATTGAGCTAAGAGTAAACCCTGATAAACAGAATTTACTGGAACTTCAGAGTATAATATAAAACCATAAATTTCTCCCTAAATATTATGGTCCAGGAAGTTTATTTAGGATAAATATAGGAAAATACAGAAAAATGAATGCCACTGTCAATTTAAAATCATGCTATAGTTGAATACAACCATCAGGGTTTAACTTGAAAACATGGTGGATTTTAACTAGATCCTCAAATCTAACCGTTTGTTAAAGAAAGGAATTCGGTTCATGGTTGAAGAAAAAGAAGTTGCATGTTCAGACAGGTTAGGTCATTATTTTGATGCTACTAAAATTCACTGAATTTTAAATAAGTGAAATTTTTTTCTGTGCCTAATGTGCCCATTTGGGGGGTTTTTCATGAAGCGAGTCAGGTACAGCGTAGTTTAAGAACCTGATGGCATTGGAACAAAATGTCAAACTGTGGAATGCCGTGGGAGGCTCCTCTTAGCAGCTTTTCTTTAGAAGTAGTCGTAAATGTGTCTGCAAAAGACCAAATACAGCACCTTAAAAAAGAGAAAGTTTTATTTGACCAACATATATATTATCTGACTAGCTGTTTTTTTAAAGTAATGATTTCATGGCTGGCATTTAAAGAATGCAATTACATCATTTTGTTTAAAAGATACTGTGGATTTTGAAACGAAATAAAGAGCTGTAGAGACATGCCCGGAGATATGATTACAGATTTGGAAAGATAGCTCAGGGGTTCCCTGGGAGTGTGTGTGGGTGGAGGGGCCGGGAGAGCCTTGAGCTTGGGGGCCTTGGTGCTCTTTGACCTCAAAGCCAAGGGCTGGAACACAGAGGTGGAAAGTAATATGTTTCCTTTTCTTTCCCTCAAGGAATTTCAACTCCGAACTTTTAAAAATCTTTCTATCATATTCTAGCAATATTTTTTTCTTTACTGCACACATTGTAAGTTGTGTGGAAACTTTCC